GTGAATTTGCAGCGCGACATCAAGTACTTGGACGGGGGGGAACAGTTGGAACATCATAACTCCAAAACCTCCTGGGTTTTGGATATTCAAAAGGCAGTGCATGTTCTTGAGCCCATACCTTAGCTATCCATGCGAAAAGAATGACCATGGAAAGTTCTCAACCAAAGCACGTAAGTGAAAAAAAACCGGTTGTTGTTTGGTGGGGTACCACTCAAGAACTTGGACATGCGATAACGCTTGAGATACCAAAAGTTCCCACACACCTGGGTTTTGAATTCGAGCACAAGCCAGCATGCTCTTGAGCCCATTCACTAACCATGCATGCAAAAAGTAAGATGTTTGAGCACGCTCAATAGCAAGATGACCAAGTTGGTGTCTCGTAGGAAATTGCTCAAGTACTGGAAAAAGGAGCACATACGATACCATAATTTTTTGCACTCTTAGGTTTTGGATCTGAGCACAAGCCTGGATTATCTGGAGCCCATGCACTAAGTGATCATGCAAAACAAGGGCTTAGAAATTGCTCAGTATCTGAAAAACAAAATGGAAAGTTGAGGTTTTGTTGGGAAACGCTCAAGTGTTTGGACATGGGACAATAGTTGACATACTCTAAATTCCCAACCACTAGGATTTTGGAACTTCGCAAAAGCCATGATGGTCTTGAGGCCATACATTAGCTATGTATGCAAAAGGAATAAGTTTTAATGAACAAACAATATAAGCCAGAATTATTTTGAGCCCATGCACTAGCTGATCATGTGTGCTCAAGAACATGCACCGCATTTTGTGTATCCAAAACCTAAGAGGTTTTGGAGTTATGGTGTTCCAACTGTTCCCCCTCGTCCAAGTACTTGACGTCGCGCTGCAAATTCACAAGTTGAAGTTTTCCTAATTAATGAGCACTCTCCATGGACATTCTTTTTGAATGGATAGCTACAGTATGGGCTCAAGAACATGCACCACAATTTGAATATCCAATACCCAAGAGGTTTTTGAGTTATGGTGTTCGAACTGTTCCCCCTCGTCCAAGTACTTGACGTCGCGCTGCAAATTCACAAGTTGAAGTTTCCTAATTAATGAGCACTCTCCATGGACATTCTTTTTGAATGGATAGCTACAGTATGGGCTCAAGAACATGCACCGCAATTTGAATATCCAATACCCAAGAGGTTTTTGAGTTATGGTGTTCCAACTGTTCCCCCTCGTCCAAGTACTTGACGTCGCGCTGCAAATTCACAAGTTGAAGTTTCCTAATTGTTGAGCACTTTCCATGGTCATTGTTTTTGCATGGATAGTTAGGGTATCGGCTCAAGAACATGCATCCCATTTTGTATATCCAAAACCAAGAGGTTTTTAAGTTATGGTGTTCCAACTGTTCCCCCTCGTGCAAGTACTTGACGTTACGCTGCAAATTCACAATTTAAGGTTTCCCTAATTGTTGAGCACTTTCCATGGTCATTGTTTTTCCATGGATAGCTAGGGTATGGGCTCAAGAACATGCACCGCAATTTGAATATCCAAAACCCAAGAGGTTTTGGAGGTATGGTGTTCCAACTGTTCCCCCTCATCCAAGTACTTGACATCGCGCTGCAAATTCACAAGTTGAATTTCCCCTAAATGTTGAGCACTTTCCATGGTCATTCTTTTAGCATGGATAGCTAGGGTATGGGCTCAAGAACATGCACCGCATTTTGTATATCCAAAGCCTAAGAGGTTTTGGAGTTATCGTGTTCCGACTGTTCCCCCTCGTCCAAGTACTTGACGTCGCGCTGCAAATTCACAAGTTGAAGTTTCCCCAACTGTTGAACACTTTCCATGGTCATTATTTTTGCATGCATAGCTAGGGTATGGGCTCAAGAATATGCACCACATTTTGTATATCCAAAACCTAGGATGTTTTGGAGTTGTGGTGTTCCAACTGCTCCCCGTCGTCCAAGTACTTGGCGTCGCGCTGCAAATTCACAAGTAGAAGTTTTCCTAATAGTTGAGCACTTCCCATGGTCATTCTTTTTGCATGGATAGCTAGGGTATGGACTTAAGAACATGCACCACGTTTTTTATATCCAAAACCGAAGAGGTTTTGGAGTTATGGTGGTCCAACTGTTCCCCTCGTCCAAGTACTTGACGTCGTGCTGCAAATTCACAACTTGAAGTTTTCCTAATTTTTGAGCACTCTCCATGGTCGTTGTTTTTGCATGCATAGCTAGGGTATGGGCTCAAGAACCTGCACCGCATTTTGAATAACCAAAACCCAAGAGGTTTTGGAGTTATGGTGTTCCAACTGTTCTTCCTCGTCCAAGTATTTGACGTCGCGCTGCAAATTCACAAGTAGAAGTTTTTCTTATTGTTGAATACTTTCCGTGGTCATTCTTTTTGCATGGATAGCTAAGGTATGGGCTCAAGAACATGCACCGCTTTTTGAATATCCAAAACCCAAGAGTTTTTGGAGTTATGGTGTTCCAACTGTTCCCCCTCCTCCAAGTACTTGACGTTTCGCTGCAAATGCACAAGTTGAGGTTTCCCTAATTCTTGAGCACTTTCCATGGTCATTCTTTTTGCATGGATAGCTAGGGTATGGACTCAAGAACATGCACCGCATTTTGTATATCCAAAACCTAAAAGGTTTTGGAGTTATGGTGTTCCAACTGTTCCCCCTCGTGCAAGTACTTGACGATGCGCTGCAAATTCACGAGTTGAGGTTTTCATTCCTTTTGCATACATAGCTAGTGTATGGCCTCAAGACCATCATGGCTTGTGCCCAGATCCAAAATCCTTGTGGTTGGAAAGTTAGAGTACGTCAACTATTGTCCCATGTCTAAACACTTGAGCGTTTCCCAACAAAACCTCAACTTTCCATCTTGTTTTTCAGATACTGAGCAATTTCTAAGCCCTTGTTTTGCATGATCAGTTAGTGCATGGGCTCAAGATAATCCTGGCTTATGCTCAGATCCAAAACCTAAGAGTGGAAAAAATTATGGTATCGTATGTGCTCCTTTTTCCAGTACATGAGCATGTTGCTATGAGAGCCGACTTGGTTATCTTGCTATTGAGCGTGCTCAAACATCTGACCTTTTGCATGCATGGTTAGTGAATGGGCTCAAGAGCATGCCCGCTTGTGCGCGGATTCAAAACCCAGGTGTGTGGGAAGTTTTGGTATCTCAAGCGTTGTCGCATGCCCAAGTTCCTGAGTGGTACACCACGAAACAACAACATGCTTCTTCTCTGAGGTTTTTTGTTCATTAAGACTCATTTCTTTTGCATACATAGCTAGTGTATGGCCTCAAGACCATCATGGCTAGTGCCCAGATCCAAAATCCTAGTGGTTGGGAATTTAGACTATGTCAACTATTGTCCCATGTCTAAACAATTGAGCATTTCCCAACAAAACCTCAACTTTCCATTTTGTTTTTCAAATACTGAGCAATTTCTAAAACCTTGTTTTGCATGATCAGTTTGTGCATGGGCTCAAGATCATCCTAGCTTGTGCTCAGATCCAAAACCTACGAGTGCAACAAAATATGGTATGGTATGTGCTCCTTTTTCCAGTACTTGAGCATGTTCCTACAAGACCTCAACTCGGTTATCTTGCTATTGAGATTGCTCAAACATCTTACCTTTTGCATGCATGGTTAGTGAATGGGCTCAAGAGCATGCTGGCTTGTGCTCGGATTCAAAACCCAGGTGTGTGGGAAGTTTTGGTATCCCAAGCATTGTCGCATATCCAAGTTCTTGAGTGGTACCCCACCAAACAAAAACCTGTGTTTTCTCTTAGGTTCTTTGTTCATTAAAGCTCATTCCTCGACTGCAACAAAATGAAAGCCGCACGCTCAGAGTATCGGGCACGCAGCAGTGGCGGAATTCCTTCGGCCAATCAGAAGCCAAAAAACGGGAGTCGCCAGTGATTGCGGATCTAGCTGGCGAAAATAAAAAGATCCGAAAGCGGCCGCGGGATTCCGGAAAAATCAACTTCGACGAAGCTGATTCGACGCGAGGAGGAAATGATGGGGGGAAATCTCCACCCCAAGACCAGTCTTCGCCAGAGAAAATCGCCGAGGAAAAATACGACTCCGCGAAAAAAGACTCTGCCGAGATGGGGAAACTCCTTGAAGACCCAAGAAATTATAAGAATTCATTAAAGTTATCTTATAAAGATGCTTTAATGAAAACTTATGATTTTCGAGAGGCTAGAGCCTTGGAAAAATTTCAGGAGGGACTCCAAAAGAAGCAGACAGCTGTGGAGATTATACCGGTACCAGACAACTTGGGGAAAAAAAAAAGGAGTGTGGAAAGAAGCCGACCTTTCCACGGAGTCAACGTCCTCTCCCGACACCAGCCCACAACGACTGCCCGTTCCCCAGGGAAGACGTCGGTGGAGCTGAAGCAGCTCAAGAGGAAGCTGGGGGTCTACAAAAAGCTACACAAACCCCGAACTCCTCCTCCGGATGCATCCAGTTCTTCGGCATCAACGACAGTCGTCAAGGAAACTCCGGGCCCTGGAGAAGAGTCGTTCTCCAAGCAGCCTCGGCCAGCTGCCAGCTCAGGAGTAGATAGCAACACAAAGGTGTGTACGGAATATTGGGATGTACCCTATGACCCAATCAATGAAACTATCTTTGGGTACTCCGAGCAACACCTGCCCCTCGTGCTCGAGGTCATCTGCAAAGGACGACGCCTCAAAGCACTCGTGGACAGCGGAGCATTGCACACCGTCTGTGACAAGGTAGTAATCGACCGACTTCGGGAAGAGTACAAGCCTTCAGGATTCTCTGCAACGATGGTGGACGGAAGCAAGTTGCCAATACGTGGCGAAGCAGTGTTACACCTACAAATCGGACCACTGCGCTGGAGACCTACACTCCCCATCACCAACATCAAAGGGCTTGACTTGATCTTCGGGCGAAACTTCCTAAAAAGATTCAACCCCGAGATCAACTGGGTGAATTGCACCGCAAGTATCTACAACAATGGACGGAGAGTACAGCTACCCAACTGGGACGATACAGGAGATATCCCAATGGAGACACTCGCACGATTCGAGAAGGACGTGAAACGAACCGACACCGGGTTCCTGGCGATAGCAACAGAGGCGGAGAACGACAGCGGAAAAACCTTGGAACCTCTAGGAAAGATCAAGGAATTATTGAAGGAGTTTCAAGACATTCTTCCGGACGATCTTCCGAACGAGCTACCGCCATACCGGACGCATCAACACGAGATCGTAGAGGAACCGGGTTCGAAGCCGACCTTCCGAGCACCATATCGGCTCAGCCCTACGGAGCTGACCGACATGAAAAAACAGATCGAGTATCTCCTAGCCAAAGGACTCATCCGACCATCCACTTCACCATACGGTGCCCCAGTACCCTTCACACCGAAACCGGACGGAAGCTTGCGCATGTGCATCGACTACCGAGCTCTTAACAAGCAGATCATCAAGAATAAATATCCAATACCGCGAATCGATGACCTGCTTGACCAGCTTCGGGGAGCTACGGTATTTTCCAAACTGGATCTGCGGTCCGGATACTGGCAGATACGGATGGCGGACAACTCTATCCACAAAACTGCTTTCCGAACTCGGTATGGATCGTACGAGTATTTGGTAATGCCGTTCGGACTCACCAACGCACCGGCAACATTCCAAGCCGAAATGAACCACATTCTACGACCACTTTTGGACGAGTGCGTGGTGGTGTACCTGGACGACATCCTCATCTACTCACGCGACATGAAGCGGCACGTCGAACACCTGCGACGCGTCTCCGAAATTCTTCGACGCGAACAATTCTACGTCAAACTGTCCAAGAGCGAATTCGCCCTTGAGAAGGTCCAGTTCCTAGGACACTTGGAGTGTCACAGGATCGAATGTGTCGAGGAAAGATTTGCTCAATGTTCCCCTATCAATCAGTACAAGGTGCTTTTATACTTCCATAATACATCAGGTAACCAGGTTTATCCTATCCAAAGAGAATAGACCCTTGAATCACCCTGCGTATAGCCACGCGAGGCTATTGGCTTTAAGGGATTACGGCAAGATTACGCTAGATATAGCGCGCCTGTACATCCCGAGCCTGGTCGGTGATATAATTATAATAACAGGATAAACCAAAGGATAATGGAAAATGAGGTATAGGAAACCAAATGAGATGAGATAAAGACCAAATGAATCAGGATTAAAAGAGGAATGAAATAGAAAGGAAATATGGAAAGGGGAAAATAGTGTAACGGGGTCGTACTCTCACATGGTGAGCGCTCAAGGAGTTCACGTCGACCCCAAGAAAATCGAAGCCGTACGTGCGTGGAAGACACCCGAGAACGTGAAGGAGTTGCAGCAGTTCCTAGGCTTCGCTAATTACTACAACAGGTTCTTGCCACAGTATGCGAAAATCGCAGCACCACTCACGAATCTGCTGAAGAAGAACACACCCTACAAATGGGAGCCGAAGCACCAGGAAGCCGTGGAGCAGCTGAAGCAAGCACTTACATCCGCACCAGTACTCATCTTGCCAGATCCCGAACGCGACTACGTCATCGAAGCTGATGCCAGCGACCAGGCAGTGGGAGCAGTCTTAATGCAAGATCAAGGGAATGGACTGCAACCAATCGCCTACCTGAGTAAGAAACTACACAGGGCAGAACTCAACTACCCGATACACGACAAGGAGGCCCTGGCTATCATCATCGCCTTCAAAGCATGGAGATGTTATCTCGAAGGACGAAGAACAACCATCTACACCGACCACTGCAGCCTGAAATATTTGAAGACACAACCCAATCTTTCCAGGCGACAAGTCCGGTGGATCGACTTCCTTGAGACACACTTCCACTACGACATCGTGTACAAGCCCGGCCACAAAAACAAAGCAGACGCTCTCAGCCGGCCTGCACACGTTGCCGCTATTCAGGTCGAAGGGATGAATCCACTACTCAAGGGACTCTTCACACACGGGTACGCCACTGACCCCGAAATTCCCTCGGCAGAAAAGCGACATCTGCTCCACTGGGACAACGACATCGCGTACCGAAAAGGATCAACGAAAATCTGGGTACCCAATTACCCTCCTTTGCACCAGTTACTACTCGAAGAATACCACGACGTCCTCTACGCCGGACACTTTGGTAGCAACAAGACGCTGACCGGTATCGCAAAGCACTACTACTGGCCCCACTTGGCAGAAGATGTTCAGAAGTTCGTCACCTCGTGTGATACATGTCAGCGGATGAAGAGCAGCAAACAGAAGAAGGCGGGACTACTGCAGCCTCTTCCTGTCCCAGAACAACCATGGGAAGTGGTTAGCCTGGACTTCATCACCGGGTTACCACCTACCTCCAGCGGTCATGACGCCATCCTTGTCGTCATTGATAGTTCTCCAAAATGGGACACTTCATCCCGACACACATGACAGCATGCACTGAAGAAACAACACAACTCTTCATTCGATACATCATCTCACAGCATGGCATTCCAACCACACTCATCTCCGACAAAGACCCCAATTTCACTAGCAAGTTCTGGAAGGAACTTATGTCTCTCGTCGGGACCAAACTAGCCATGTCATCCGCTTACCATCCGCAGACAGACGGCAAGACTGAGCGCCTCAACCAGATTGTCGAGCAACTCCTTCGAGCAGCCTGCAAGGACGAGATCTCCAAATGGGACTTGCATCTGCCCATTCTAGAGTTTGCTTACAACAACGCTACTCATGCCGCTACGGGCCAGACGCCGTTCTTCCTCTGCTACGGACGCCACCCACTCACACCACAAAAACCGACAGCATCAGCTACAGTCCAACCTGCGCATGATTTCATCACAACCATGCATCAGCTTTGGGATCGGACCCACAAGCGCCTCCTCGACATTCAACAGCAACAGAAGCGCCAGGCCGATCGCCATCGCAACGACCACACCATCACACTGGGAGACGAGGTGCTTCTTGACACCCGCAACCTGGATATCAGCCACCTCCCATCTAAACTTCGACCTCGCTTCTGCGGGCCTTTTCTCGTTGAAGCACATTTCACTCCTGTTACCTTCCGCTTGCGCTTGCCAGCTACTTGGAAGATTAACAACGCCTTCCATGTCCAACTTATGAAGCCCTATCGGGATCCGAACACGATCTTCGTCGGACGCCAACCACCGCCGCCGCCGCCCGTCCTTGTCCAGAATGAACCCGAGTACGAGGTCGAGTCCGTGCTTGCACACCGCCGTCGACGGAATGGCACCGTGGAGCTTCTCATCCGTTGGAAGGGTTATGATCCTTCTGAGGACAGCTGGGTACCTGAGTCTGACATGGGTAACACCCGCCGTCCTCTACATGACTACCTTGTCAAGCAGGGTGTTACTTCTACCACCTAGCTTTGAGGGGGGGAAGTGTGAGAGTACGACCCCGTTACACCACTGGTCCTTTTCCCTATTTCCTTTTCCTTCCATTTCTCTTTTTATCCCATCTCATTTGGTTTCCTATTCTTCCTTTTCCATTAGCCTTTGGTTTATCCTGCTATTCTAATTATATCACCGACCAGGCTTGGGATGTACTGGGCGCTCTATCTAGCGTAATCCTGCCGTAATCCCTTAAAGCCAATAGCCTCGCGTGGCTATACGCAGAGTGATTCTATTTTCTAGAAGGGTCTATTCCCTTAGGATAAGATAAACCTGGTTACCTGATGTACTCTGGAAGTATAAAAGCGCCTTGTACTGATCGATAGTGCAACCTTTCCTCGACACATTCGATCTTGTGACACAGTTGGTGCATGTGTTGGTGCAAGCCTATGACTTCAACTCGGCTTGTCGTCCTTGTTTGTGTGTGTGCATGCATGGCATGGAATGAATTGTGAGTCTATGTTATTCCTACCTAGTGCTTGTGTGTGTGTTTGAATGGTGTATCACAATGTGGTTTGTGTCGGTCAAGATATTAGCGAGTTTTTACAACTCGCATGTCAAGTCGTCGTTTGCGTGTCGCATGCGTTTTTTCTATTTTGTCAAGTGTGAAGTGTCCATCGCATCGCAGGTGTGTGCAGCAAGCCCCCATCAACTCAAGAAGAAATTATCTTCCAGAACCAAGACCAAGAGCTCAAGATTTCAAGCCCAAGGGACACGGATAAATATTAAATAGTGAAAATAGTAACGCTTCTTCGTGTAGTGTTACATTTCACTTGGTGTAGCTCCTTGGAGGGTTTGTTTCGAGACTCTTCATGGTTGGGGACTCTGTGGTGGAGTACCACCAACCTGGACCTCGGCTCTTTGGGTATGTAGAGGCTGGGAACCATCTCCATCTCGAATTCTTCTTGCTAAGTTTGTACTCCTAAGACTATAGTGGCTACTGTACCTCCTGCAAGTCAAACCGCCATAACGTCGTCAAATCTTCATGTAATTTTATGATTCAACTTGCTGCTGATAGGCGACAGCAACGCGCGCCAGATCCAGTTTACGGATCACTGTTTGAGGCATACATCAGATCGGCATAATCATCTGAAGCTGTCTGACGGAATTCTGACTGTGCACAATTTCTCTCATTTTAGGCACATCTGAGCCTATTGTGATTATAACAAGTGGTATCAGAGCCCCTTGGAGACATTTCGACCATTCCTAGAGCTGAGGAAGGGGGTGGCAGAGGTGCTGGAGGCAGAGAAGACGCCCAAGCACAAGGTCAACACCAAGATCCACCCGTTGCTCCGGTGCAACCTAGCCTTGGACCCTCTAGGGATGAGCCTAGAGTGTTTGGCGTTGACAAGTTCAACGGTGACAACTTTGCTGAGTGGTCATTCAAGATGGAGAACATCTTTGACCGCTACGATCTTCCGGAGGTGATGGAAGGAACAGAGAAGCGCCCCGAGAACGACCCGGAGAAGAGCCTGTGGGTGCGGAAGAGCGCACAAGGCTACCTTCTACTTGGGCAAGCGTTGGGGAGCAGCCAAATCCGTCACATCAAGCATTTTCAGCGTGAACCAGCAAAGGGACCAAAGGCATGGGCGGCTCTCAAGGGTGTACACGCTCCTGCAACAGCGGCGGTGGCTGTGGTTTTGGAGCGGCAAATGGCGGCACTTCGAATTGACGAAGGCGAACCGGTGGAGGAAGGAGTGCAGAAATTCTTCGACTTGTTGACACGGCTCGAAGAAGCTGACCTGAACTACAGTGACCTTCAAAAGAAGACCAAGCTGCTGGCCTTACTTCCGGACTCATGGTCCTCGCTTATCATCAACCTAAACCGAGATCTGCCCCGTCTCTCACTCGAAGATGTGAAGCGGGAAATCTTACAAGCCGTCGCGAATTGGCGGGTCCCGATAGTGCCGGAGTTGCAAGCATGGGCCGTGGGCATGGCCGTGGAAGGGGCAGAGGGCGAGGAGGAAGATTTGGCAGCAGTAACTTCAATGGAGGCCGTGGTAATGGAGGATATGGCAGCAACAACAACAACAATGGCTACGGGCGTGGGCGCGGTCGATTTGATGGCGAATGCCACTTTTGCCACAAGACCGGCCACATGTGGAGAGATTGCTTTAGATTGCCTGAAGGATGGACCCCTTCTCAAGGCCAAGAGGGCAGAGGAGCAAGGGGAGGAAGAGGCAGAGGTCGTGGAGGCCGTGGTGGTCGTGGAAGCGAAGCGGCAAGCATGAAAGGTGGAGACTACAAGACGGGCCCGAGTGAAGATCGATACCCGGGCCAATTCTTCTTTGTCTCCACGCAAGCGGTAGCTGCAGCAGGAGGTGTGGAAGGCTTTGAGGAGCCAGCTACTGTGGGAAAGGTCACCCTTCACTCTCTGGACTTTTGGGTGATCGATAGCGGCGCCACCTATAGCATGACACCTCGTGCGGACTTGCTCACCGAACTCGAACCGTCGCCGGTCAAGCATGTTACATCGGCTTTGGGGCAGCGAGCAGAGGTGAAAGGCATGGGCAAGGCCATGTTCAAGGGTGCTGATGGGAAGATGGTGGGCTTCAAGAACGTGCTTTGGGTGCCCAACCTTGCAGCCAACCTGATTTCCGTGCGGCGTTTGCAAAAGGCCGGCATGGACACATCTTCCAAGGGATCCAATACCTATAACGCGAGGCTTGGTGAGCGGAAGCTTTGGGACCTTCATGAGGACAGGGACATCTACAATGAGATGTGACAAATCCCAGTGGTCCCCATGCCTAAGGAGAGGCAAGTGGCAGCAAGCGTCAGCACCAAGAGTGAAGCAGTTGGTGGCAGTGATCACGGAAAACAAAGTGACACCAAGAGTGACTCGAAGGAGTGCAATCTTGGAGGGACCAGCAAGGCGTGTGAAACCAAGGAGAGTGGTGCAGCAGCCAAAGGTGGTGGAAATGAGGAGGAGAAATCTGAGATCAGCAAAGCAGCAGCGGCGAAGGAGAAAGGAGAGAGCTTGTGGGGCACAATTGCGAGTGCCGCTTTCTCCAACCCGACTTCCGCTACGGGAGAGTGTGATTGGCTGACCTTGCATTGGCGAATGGGGCATGTGGCATTGCCCATTTTGCAGTAGATAGTTAAGCAAGAGATGGTCAATGGGATACGTGTCAAGGGGGAGCCCAATGAGGTGCTTGGCTGTCCAACATGCATGCAAGCCAAGTTCACCCGCTACCCGTTCCATAGCTCGGAGACAACGGCGAAGGCACCACTTGATAAGGTGGTGATGGATGTGGTGGGCCCCTTGAAGCTTGGAGCTGCTGGAGCAGAGTACTTCCTCACCATTGTGGACGTCTACACTCGCATGACTTGGGTGTATGTGCTGTCCAAGAAGAGTGATGTAGCTAAAACGGTGAAGACCGATTGGTTGCCGATGGTGGAGCGGCAACAAGACCGGCTTGTGAAGGCGATTCGCACTGACCATGGGGGAGAGTTCCTGAGCAAAGACTTCTCAACTTGGCTGAAGAAGCAGGGCATAAGGCACTCTCTTACCATGCCCTACTCTCCTGCAATGAACGGCATCGCCGAGCGTGCGAATTGGACACTCACGGAGACGGCTCGGGGACTTCTCATTGAAGCCGGTCTTCCCAATTACTTTTGGCCGGATGCGGTGCGGCATGCTTGTGTGGCCAAGAACAGAGCCTTGAATCACGTGGGAGAAGACAAATGGGTGCCCTATGTGGAGTGGATTGGAAGGAAGCCGAAGGTGGATATGCAAGATAGGAAGGAAGCCGAAGGCGAAGATTGGTGTGCGGCTTGGAGAGGTGAAGAGTACCGGCTTGGAGCATGTGGAGCTGCGCCTGGAGCTGAGTAGCAGCAGCACAATCACGAGGCAATCTTCCCAAATGAATGGGGATGAGGAGGAGGAGGAGGTGCAGCAAGGTGATGAGCGTGCACCGCCACTTCCGCCTCGTGCTACAAGTGCTCGCGGGAACCGACCAGATTTACCGTAACGCCATGAGAGCATTAAATTTCCTGCAGCAGAGGAGGAAGGAAGGGGGAGAAGGAGGACTCAGCCCCCTAATAGGCTGAGCTATGACCAGCTTGGAGGACTAGCCAACTCAACCGTGACCGGTTCGGCTCTCATGCTAGGCGATGATGCGGAAGATGAGAGCGAGGAGTGCGCTTTTGCCTTCTTCTCTCCGGTGGAGATACCGGGGGAGCCTACAAATCCCAAGGAGGCTTGGGAGGGCCCCAATGGGAAGGAGTGGAAGAAGGCCTCAGATGAAGAAATGGGGAGCATCATAGAGAACGACACATTTGACTTGGTGAATCTACCTCCGGGGCGGAAGGCGATCTCTTCCAAGTGGCTCTTCAAGCGCAAGACCGACGCCGACGGCAACATCGAGCACTACAAGAGCAGACTTGTAGCCAAGGGGTATCATCAGCAAGAGAAGAAGGACTACAATGAAGTGTATGCTCCTGTGGTGAAGGGTACTACCCTTCGAACCCTCTTCGCCGTGACGGACATCAAAGGATGGGTGGTGAAGCAAATGGATATAGTAACGGCCTTCCTCAACGGCGTTTTGGAGGAAGAGACCTACATGGAGCAGCCAGAGGGGTACAATGATGGGAGTGGCAGAGTGTGGAAGCTGAAAAAAGCACTCTATGGCCTCAAGCAAGCCCTTAGGCAATGGTACATCAAACTGCGGGAAGTCTTGGAGGCGATTGGCTTCACTCCCTCAACGGCCGATCAATCGTTGTTCATGCTTGGCGAGGGGGAGCAGAGGAGCTTCATGGTGGTTTATGTGGATAACATCCTCATATTCTCACCCTCCTCTGACCTTGTGAAAGATGTGATGCTGAAGCTTCAAGACAAGTTCAAGTGCAAGACCCTTGGTGACGTCAACTACTACCTTGGGCTCCACATTGAGCGAGATGTGGAGAAGCGGTGGATGCGAGTGCATCAAAAGAAGTACTTGGAGGCGTTGGCTGAAAACTTTGGGAAGAGTGAAGGTCATGTGGCTACTCCTCTACCCTCGGGGTTCAAGTGTGTGAAAGGACCAGCGGAGAAAAGTGTTGGTGAAGAGGAGAGGCGCCGTTTTCATTCCTGGGCAGCCTCATGTATGCGGCCGTTCACACAAGGCCGGATGCAGCCTTTGCTACCGGGTAGCTGGCTAGGGTTGTCCAATGCCCTAATGAAGAGCAGGTAGCAGCTGGAGAGAGGGTGGCCAAGTACCTTGGCCAAACAGCAACTGTTGGACTGCAATACTCCGCGGCGGCACAAAGGCGTCAAAAGGGTGCGGATGGAGTCGAACCCGGGAGGCTCTTTCTCACCGCCTTCTCTGATGCATCTTGGGCATCAGAACCAGAGGACATGACAAGTGTGGGAGGCTTCATCTGCTGTGTGGGTGGAGGACCAACAGCTTGGGAGAGCAAGAAGCAAGTGGACCAAGCATTGAGCTCGGTGGAGTCCGAGTACATGGCACTCTTCCGTGCCATAAGGGAGGTTGTGTGGCAGCGGCGTTTGCTAGCTGAATTGGGGGAGGAGCAGCAAGGACCTACCCCACTGTATTGTGATAGCCAGGGTGCTATTGCATTGGCTAAGAACCCGGTTCTTCATGGCCTTACCAAACACATGAAGGTGAAGTGGCATTGGGTGAGGAGCATGGTAACCTCGGGTGAAGTGGAGTTGCACTACGTGAAGATGACGGCACAGCCTGCTGATATGATGACCAAGAGGCTGGTTGAGCAGCAGCATTGGAAGTGTTGCAAGCTTGCTGGGATGGCTCTGAACTAAGGGGAGCAGATTCTGAGGCCAACAATCCGAGGAGGAGTTTGTTGGTGCAAGCCTATGGCCTGCACTCGGCTTGTCGTCCTTGTTTGTGTGTGTGCATGCATGGCATGGAATGAATTGTGAGTCTATGTTATTGCTATCTAGTGCTTGTGTGTGTGTTTGAATGGTGTATCACAATGTGGTTTGTGTCGGTCAAGACATTAGCGAGTTTTTACAACTCGCATGTCAAGTCGTCGTTTGCGTGTCGCATGCGTTTTTTCTATTTTGTCAAGTGTGAAGTGTCCATCGCATCGCAGGTGTGTGCAGCAAGCCCCCATCAACTCAAGAAGAAATTATCTTCCAGAACCAAGACCAAGAGCTCAAGATTTCAAGCCCAAGGGACACGGATAAATATTAAATAGTGAAAATAGTAACGCTTCTTCGTGTAGTGTTACATTTCACTTGGTGTAGCTCCTTGGAGGGTTTGTTTCGAGAATCTTCATGGTTGGGGACTCTGTGGTGGAGTACCACCAACCTGGACCTCGGCTCTTGGGGTATGTAGAGGCTGGGAACCATCTCCATCTCGAACTCTTCTTGCTAAGTTTGTACTCCTAAGACTATAGTGGCTACTGTACCTCCTGCAAGTCAAACCGCCATACCGTCGTCAAATCTTCATGTAATTTGCTGGTGATAGGCGACAGCAACGCGCTCCAGATCAATTTTACAGATAACCGTTTGAGGCACACATCAGATCGGCATGATCATTTGAAGCTGTCTGACGGAATTCTGACTGTGCACAATTTCTCTCATTTTAGGCACATCTGAGCCTAATGTGATTATAACAGCATGGGCTCAAGATAATCTTTGCTTGTGCTCGGATCCAAAAACTAAGAGTGCAAAAAATTATGGTATCGTATGTGTTCCTTTTCCAGTACTTGAGCAATTTCCTACGAGACCTCAACTTGGTTATCTTGCTATTGAGCGTGCTCAAACATCTGACATTTTGCATGCATGGTTAGTGAATGGGCTCAAGAGCATGCTGGCTTGTGCTCGTATTCAAAACCCAGATGTGTGGGAAGTTTTGGTATCTCAAGCGTTGTCGCATGTCCAAGTTCTTGAGTGGTACCCCACCAAACAAGAACCTATTTTTTCTCTTAGGTTCTTTGTTCATTAAAACTCATTCCATTTGCATACATAGCTAGTGTATGGCCTCAAGATGATCATGGCTTGTGCCCAGTTCCAAAATCCTAGTGGTTGGGAATTTAGAGTATGTCAACTATTGTCTCATGGCTAAACACTTTAGCGTTTCCCAACAAAACCTCAACTTTCAATTTTGTTTTTCAGATACTGAGCGATTTATAAGCCCTTGTTTTGCATGATCAGTTAGTGCATGGGCTCAAGATAATCCTGGCTTGTGCTCAGATCCAAAACCTAAGAGTGCAAAAAATTATGGTATCGTATATGCTCCTTTTTCCAGTACCTGAGAAATTCCTACGAGACCCCAACTTGGTTATCTTGCTACTGAGCATGCTCAAACATCTTACCTTTTGCATGCATGGTTAGTGAATGGGCTCACGAGCAGGCTGGCTTGTGCGCGGATTCAAAACCCAGGTGTGTGGGAAGTTTGGGTATCTCAAGCGTTGTCGCATGCCCAAGATCTTGAGTGGTACCCCACCAAACAACAACCTGTTCTTTCTCTTAGGTTCTTTGTTCATTAAAACTCATTCCTTTTGCATACATAGCTAGTGTATGGCCTAAAGACCTTCATGGCTTGTGCCAAGTTCCAAAATCCTAGTGGTTGGGAATTTAGAGTATGTCAACTATTGTCTCATGTCTAAACACTTGAGCGTTTCCCAACAAAACCTCAACTTTCCATTTTGTTTTTCAGATACTGAGCGATTTCTAAGCCCTTGTTTTGCATGATCAGTTATTGCATGGGCTCAAGATAATCCTGGCTTGTGCTCAGATCCAAAACCTAAGAGTGCAAAAAATTATGGTATGGTATGTGTTCCTTTTTCCAGTACTTGAGAAATTTTGCTACGAGACCCCAACTTGGTTATCTTGCTATTGAGCGTGCTCAAACATCTGACTTTTTACATGCATGGTTAGTGAATGGGCTCAAGAGCATGCTGGCTTGTGCTCGGACTCAAAACCCAGGTGTGTGGGAAGTTTTGGTATCTCTAGCGTTGTCGCATGTCAAAGTTCTTGAGTGGTACCCCACCAAACAACAAGCTGTTTTTTCTCTTAGAATCGTTGTTCATTAAAACTCATTCATTTTGCATACATAGCTAGTGTATGGCCTCAAGACCATCATGGCTTGTGTTCAGATTAAAAATCCTAGTGGTTGGGAATTTAGAGTATGTCAACTATTGTCCCATGTCCAAACACTTGAGCGTTTCCCAACAAAACCTCAACATTCCATTTTGTTCTTCAGATACTGAGCAATTTCTAAGCACTTGTTTTACATTATCAGTTAGTACATGTGCTCAAGATAATCCTGGCTTGTGCTCAGATCCAAAACCTAAGAGTGCAAAATATAATGGTATCGTATGTGTTCCTTTTTCCAGTACTTCAGCAATGTAGCTGTGACTCAGCAAGTGATTAATCAAGGTAGGGGTGATTAAGCAAGAAAGAGGAAACTCAGCAAGAGGGTGGGAGTTCAGCATGGTAGTTGTGAGGAAATCAAGCTAGGGGGGATTCATCAAGGTAGAGGGGATTCAGCAAGGTAGGGTTGATTCAACAAGGAAGGGGGGATTCAGCAAGGTAGGGTTGATTAAGCAAGGTAGGGGTGATTAAAAAATGTAGGGGTGATTGAGTAAGGTAGGGGTGATTAACCAAGGAAGGGGGAATTCTGCAAGGTAGGGTTGATCAGTGGGAATTTAGCACGTTAGGGATGATTAATAAAGGTAGGGGTGACTCAGAAAGGGAGTGGGGATTCAGCAAGATTGGGAGAATTCAGCAAGGAAGAGGGGATTCAGCAAGGAAGGGGTGATTCAACAAG